AAAATTAACGTGTCGTGTCCAACTTTTTTGGAAATTGACGTGTCGCCGTGTCTGTGTCGTGTCATATCCGTGTCGCGTGTCCATGCGCTTTTATAGTGTTCTCAATTGGGGATGGCAACCGGACACGTTAGAGGGATAACTAGTGGTTACCTATTTGATACTCTTATGGATTAGTTCCCATATAACTACACTTTCCTTAGCAAATGGCTATTATATTGCCCCCGTCATCTCTTCAGCAAGAGACCCCTCTTTGATTTTTCACTTTTTCAAAGATCTTTTCAACAGAGAAAGAGAATTGACAAGTTGACATCACTTTTAAATGCATACTTCAAACTTTATCCATGAGCAAGGGATCATTCAATGTGGGTCATTGACTCTTCAAGTTTTCCTTTCTTGTTGAAGTTGGGGATGGTCAGGATCCTTAAGAAGGTGAGATTTCTTTCGTGATTTCATTCAAAGATCTTCCTCAATGGCTCCTTGTATACATTGGGGTGCTCTTTACACGCCGGTGCTAGAGGATGTGAATCATATCTTCTCGATTTGTGTGTGTCATCTTTGCACAAGGGTCATGCTAATCTTCTCTATATCGTTCTAATTTTATCAAATGTCCTTGAAAGGACATGTGAATCATCTCTTCCAGTTTTGTATTTTTGCTTTAAACCTCTGCAAAGACTATGGTAAACTTTTGGATAGAGATTCCATAAGACTTTCCTCTCGTGCTAAATTTCCAGATGAAACCCCGGCCCCAACTCAATCTCATCTTTTTAAGAACAAACTTATGATACAGAAGGATCGTTTCTTACAAAGTTAAAAGCAACAGGATAGCAATTCACAAGTCAGAAACTGACAAGTTTACACCACCCAATATAACAGAAAGCATTTAGTACTAGACTTAAGAGACACTTACGCGATATAGGGTTGAAGGAACCAAAGTCTCGTATGGCTCATTAAGGGTTATCACCCCTCGAACGCCAACCTCCTTTAAACGAGGAACATCGGCAGGAAATGGAACAGCACCTAACAATATAAACTGGAAATATGGTGTTAAAACATTTACCACTTGTTCCCCAATAATAGTGGCATTATTTTGTTATCTTGTTTTGATCCCAATAATACTGCGAAGAAATTGGCAAGATCAAAAAATATATCCATACCTGGTCGACCCTATCCCACCAACGAAACTCCGTCTGAAGCTTATTTCTGAAAACATTGTAAAGCAAAGTCGGGTAGAAAAGCACACGAGCCCCAACTCCAACAGCGATCCTTTTTACATCAGACCTTACGATGCTTTGGCTCTCAAAATCACTAACAATAGCACGATAACTCCCCTCCTCCCCAGTCTGCAACTCCCCTTCCTTCAATTCCTCAATATACATAGCCTCAAATAAAAAGCCCCAAAATCGACTACAATAAACCGAATATCCAAACAACACCAATTATCTCGAATGCATAAACAAACCAACAATCTACACCCGTTTGCCCCAAATAGATAAAGTTTCAACCAACTCGCATGATTACATACAAAGAATTAACATCCCCCATCACGAAAACCTAAAATTCTTTCCCAAACCCAAACCCAGAAATGGAAAATCGGAGAAGATCTCCACGGAGAAAACAAAATACAGAAAAACGAAATTCTCACAGAATTCTCCACCACGCGGCAGCCGAAAAATTAGAAGAGGCCGGTCGACGGAGAAGAAAGCGCGATTGATCAACACGAATTGGGAAAAGTTGACGGAATATTTCCAGAACCGAACCCTAGATTATGCTTCGGAATTGAAAAGCTACCATGGATTGGATTCTACTCAAACCATTGGCACAACATTCTCCAAAAACCGATTGATGAGAGAGAAAAAGTAGAGAGAGAGAGAGAGACTCCGGCAATTGCTCAACAAATAGCCCGGAGAAGAATCGGCGAGTTGGCCCGAAACGATAATATTAAAGTGACGGGACGGTCATAAATATTGTGTGGCAGCGCATTGAATTTCCGCCACGTGTACACGGGTCTTTTGCATTCATCGGACCATGACTCACGGGCCGTCACTTTTAAATCTCAAATGTGGACCCCACCCGATTAAACGACAATATAAATAATGGATATTGTATGAATGTAAACCAATAGAAGAAGGGCCAGGGCAATAAGTTTCGATGGATTTCTTCAAATAATTAGTGTTGGAACTAAATACGCTATTATTAAGGACTTTTTTCTTTTTTAAATATTGCAAATTAGAAACTTATCTGCGAAAACATAGCTCTTTCTTTTTTTTTTTCCCTTTCGACAGCGAAAATATAGCTGTTGTTAAAATTTATTTCAAAAATAATACTTAAAAGTTTAAAAATTTATATATCTACTTATACCACTTTATAATTTCTTGACCTATATTAATACTAATTTCGAGTAAAACTATCACTATGCCGAAGAGACTAAAGTTCTCATCTTCTAATCTAAAAGTGTGAGGTTTAAGTTCTCCTAATGTCATTTTGTTTCTCTTCTATCCCATAGAATATGTTATATTGTAAATTTTTTTCTCTTTTAAATAAATTTAAATAGATGTTGTTTGTTCAAATTTATCTTAGCTTGAAATTAAAAATTATTTTTTTTCGTTTTTAAGAATAAATAATTATTAATTCTAAAAAATAAAATAAAATAATTACATTAAAAATATAGAAAATTGTAATTATTTTCCGTAAATTTTATAATTACTATATTAATATATTTCATAAATAAAATAATAACATCTCAAGTACTCATGATCTTTAGATTAGAGAATAGGAGTATAGTCACTCCACTAGAATGATAATTTTGCTTAAATTCGGTATATGCTGTCTCTTGAAACGAAAAAAACAGAGAGAGATTGTTGGCTAATGATGAAGTGACATCGACCTACAATATTCCAAGCATTCTTCTTTGAAAATTTTTCAAAAGGGGTATATTTTACAAATAAATTTCTAATTTAGCATTATTAAAAAAAATCTTTATTATTAATCTATTTTTCTTTTAAACTTATTGTTGTTATTTGCGAATATATCATTAAAGTATAGATTATATTTTTGTTTAGTCGGTAACTACAAATTAATGATATATATGACATGTGTCTCAATGGTTAACGTATTGTTTTTATCTTTTATTTAATACAATATGTAGGGGTTGAAGTACTTAAACTATGTTTAGGTTGACTTACATGTTTTTTTAAATATTATTATTCTTACACCAATTAAAGGAGCTATAAATTTTCGCTAAATTGGTGTGACGTGGTCAGGATAAATGGGCGTGTAATATTGTGTTTGTTTAGTCCAACAACATGTGAGAATGATGATTCAACTCCAATTAAGAACTAAATAAATAATAATAAGTTAAGGAGTTCAAATTGGTGGCAGAAAACATTTTATTTTAGTAATAGGAACTAAATAAATAATAATGATTTAAATTTAGTGACAATTACAAATTTTTAAAATTTATATGTTAAGTAGATATATTCTTTCAAATAAAATATTTAAATTTATAATTTAATATAAAAGAAATTAGCACAATGATCTAATGCTTGCACATATTTCTATTTTAAAATATTGCGGACTAATATCATGTGATGCACATTGATAAAGGCAAAATTTAATATTTAATATATATGATTAATTATGTTACTCAAAAATATAAATTTAGAAATGGCTAAAAGCACAGGTCTAGTATATAATAGAGACTCATTGTACTAAATAAATAAATAAAATTTGAAGGTCAACATCAGATTGACCAAATAATTCATAATTAATTATATTATAAGAATTTTGTGACAAGATGATATATAAGGATGGGGATGGATGTTTTTATCTTCTAAACTTCAAGTTTGTTGACATTCTTAATAGGTAAGGCAAGTACAAAAGTTTATCTATTCATGTTGTATTAAAAAAAATCTTTTGAAATACGAAATCTGAAATTGTGTACTACCCAGTACAATCCGAACAATTCTAGACATCTATATCAAATTATTATTTAGTTTTTGTAAACCTAGACATGATAACATTTTAATTTTTCTTTACTTCAACAACTATGGGATAGAAATCGAACCATCGATATTTGAGATGGTAATAAATATCTGACCAAGTTATAATCGAATTGACAACTAATATTTTAATTTATGACTCGAATCGACATGTATGGATCAAGCTTAGATCCAAATGCTAAAATTAATGAAAATTTTATATTGGATTTTGGATTTATCATAATTGACTAATCATGGATTCACTTTGATAACAAATTGTTGATGCATGATTTGGATTTTAGCTCTAGCATCGATGTTTTAACGAATACTTGCATACACAACATACACTCTGGTGTATAAGTTAACAAAATATTTAGTTAAGAATGTCAAAAAGTAGAGTTGTAGAACGTACCTCACGCCCTAGGTCAATCCTCTTATTTATAGGGGATTGGTTCGATGAATCGACTCAATCGAATATGATCGATTTGGACAAGTGGTCCGACCCTACTTGGATTTTGCATGGTCGAGTGATCTAGTTTGGTTAGGTAAGGTCTAGTATAGGTCAGCCTAGTCGAACGCTCAAGCTCTAGTTAAGTCTGGTCTAGTCGAGTGGTCCAGCATCCCAACTCACATCACTTCCTTTGCATCACTTCAAATAAGTCTAATGAATTTCACGCATAACAAGAGCGGTCGATACATTTTTATTCCATGTTTTAGTTGATTATAATAAAAGTTATCTCAGTGTATGTCTCTCTCTCTCTTTTTTCTTTATTACAAATTTGTAGTCACTAGTTTTATTAAATTTTATCTTAATTATACTAAGTTTAAGCTTTCCCTTTTCAGGACTACCACTATTTTTTAATATTGGGCCTCAATTGGGCCTAATCTCAAAATGTCCAGCCCGCATGGAAACAATCAAAGCCCAGCCCATTTGTGCAAATATCCAAAGCCCATTTGAGATTTCCAAGCGATGAAAAGATAGCCATCGAATTCTCTTACCTAAAATTTAAGGGATTAGTACGTTGATGGGCTATTTAAAGATCCTAATTACATAAAAGGATGAAATGTATAGAATAAGATTGTACTCATCACATAAATTACTTAAATACCCTATTGTATCTACAAATTACAGAATTGATTAATTGGAAGGTTATAATTTAGATCACATAATTTTAGGTTAATGATATTTTCCAAAACAAATTAAAACACCAAAACATTAAAAACAAAACCTTAAATTCCCCAAAATTGAAATCATAACCTCCTAAAATATCTCTAAATCCCGTCTAAAAATCTCCCAACAGAAAGAAACAAAAAAAAATGAAACATCCATTTTACAGAGGCTTTTGTAAGAAAGAAATTGACAAAGATTTGAAACAATATCCCAAAATCCCCCAAATTTGAAAACCTTCAGAAATCCCCAAAATCCAAAAATAACAATCGTCAAGACCATGAGACGTTTAGAACTTCAATTTTGGAGGACCCTATCTACAGAACTATAAGATATATGTGTATATATCTTATACTATATATAATATAACATATATATCCATCTATACGAATATAATCAGGAATACTAAGACTATGAGACATTTAGAACTTCAATTTTCTATACACATACACAAAATATATCCCCATATATATCAATCTTAACGGAAGACTAATAATTACCAATGGTATGGAGAACCCTTTCTACAGAACTATAAGATATATGTGTATATATCTTATATATATAAGATATATACACATAAGATATAGTCACATATACAATATATACTCATATATACATAAGATAATTAAGGATTCAAATCTTTTAAATTTTAAAATTATAATATATTAAAAAGCAATAAATAAGGGTAGAAAGGGTATTAGAATAAAATTCTACATCAAAATATCTAAAAGTGTAAATTTAGAAAATTGAAGACATTTGTGTAAATACGATTTTAAAACAGCCCTCCCAAGATATTATCTCAAAATTTAAAGCCATGAGAACATTTTCGTTCATATTTAACTATTTATATCATTTTAGTCATACTTACGATATTTTTAATTTTTGCCACTAAATTTTACATAAATATCTGATTTAGTCAATGTTTCTAATTTTCATCGTGCAACTTACAATGTATTAAGTTTGGCGTTAAACTTGGAAACAAGGGATTTTAGATTTCTATCAATCCAATGATTGTTTATGAAAGTTTAAGGCTTGTTTGGTATGCTATCTAGATTTTATTTTTTGTTTTCAGATTCCCTGTACCGAATGAATTTAGTGAATATGTATTTGACATATTTATTTTTTAAAACTGTTTTGGAATTCTAGGATCCAAATAGTGGAAATTCTAAAAACAAAATTTTAATGTTTTTAATGTTTTTAAATTTTGAATTTGAAATTTTAGAATGTAGAGTTGCATTAATAAAAAATAAACCTTTGATAAATATATTATTTCATATTATAATCTCATTTCATTTTTGTTAAAATTAAAACAGGTAAAATATAATATAATATAAATGATATATTATTGTAAAATAATAACTCTACAAAATTTATAACAAAAATGTTAATAAATTAATTAATAATGTTTGAGATAGAACTAAATATTTAGTTATAAATACCACTAGTTTACAAAGATATTACTAAACATAAATTTGATAATTTTTTAAATTGAAATTCAATTTTCAGGATATGATATCAAACACATTAAAAAAATATTGAAAATTAAAGAATACAGCTATATTTTTCACTTTACTTTACGTTGTTTTCAATTTTATGTTTTCAAATCACCAACAAAACACACTTTTATAGATTTAAATAAATGTTTTTTGAAAGTAGGAAGAAGAAAAAGAAATATTTATGAAAGTTTGATGACAAAAACACAACTTAAACCTTTAGGAAAATTACAAACTTACCCAATAACTTTAAAAAGAAAAAAGAAAAAAAGAAACATTAGACCTAAGGACAAGAAATACAAAGTCAAAAATGGATTATAGACTTGACTAAAAACATTTTTAATACTTCAAAACTAAAATCCAAACATTTAAAAAATAAATCGAGAAAAATAAGGTAAACTCCATTATTTTATTGCACATTTACTCTATGGTTCTCTTAACTACTCGATGATGTAATACTTACGTAATTATGCAAGATGAATAAACTAATGACGATAAATTTTCGAGATAACAATCCAACAACATCAATGATCTCATTCATTACATTATTAAATTGATTGAATAAGTTCCAAAAAGAAAAAAGCATACAAATAGAGAGTTCTCTCTTATCACAAAAACTATCAAATTATCCAATGGAACTTAATAGAATATATTATTCTTTGATTCTTTGTCCATTGAGGGGAGGAATTATTAGAAAGTATTTGAATGGCAAGAAGAAGCCATGGAATTTTCAAAAAGCAAGACAATTCCTTCCCTCCATTGGCCTAAGTTTGAATACAATATTGTGTAAAACAAAAAGAATAAAACCCCTCAACTTTCTTTCTTTCTTCCTCAGCCATTGTTGGATTCTCCTTATGCATTAGATGCTTTTAGTACAAAAGAAAAAAAAATGGCAGCTCATTCTCATCCCAAGCAATTCAAGTGGGTCACAAAAATGTTGGTCAGCTGCTTCGTTCGGTTTGTTTAACGTGACTTTTCTAATGAAAAATTGACACGTGAATCAGTGTTTGTTCTCATTGGAAGTATAACACAGAGATGAGACAACATCAGTTGCTTGTGAAATTGGTTTCAATGTAGTTCGAAAGAACATAACGTATGTGTAAGTTTGCACGAAGGAGCAGAAAGATAGATAGGAAGTGATGATCCTATTCTTCGAAATCCCATTAAAACTAATCTAACTAGCATGCTATAATTGATGTCATCTAATCAACTGATCAAATCCTCTTAGTTTGGTTCAATCGATCTCAAAAACATATATATTGATCTACAAGATCTGTGGCAATTTATTCATAACATGACCTTAGATCTAAAAAACTAAATTCACACCAATCGAATGGACTAACTCAATTTATTTTCCATACTTAAGTAGTCTAGTCCCTAGAACGTATAAAATCAAAACTATAAGTTCGACCAGTTCAATACACAAAACCATATCGAACTTGACCAAACTAACTATATGAAAAAACAATTAACCTAGAATATGTGCAAAATATCATAATCCTTGGCCTAACCAAATCACCCTAATCAACATGCAACAATCTACTCAAATCAAGCTAAACTCGTGTAATTTTTTTCACACACCCAATTCCATTTTGTCTACATGATATATAGGACCAAATCGACCGATTTAATTAATTAGATATAAAATCGAATTGAACCCATTTGCAACTCTTTCCAAACTAATTTGAACGTAGCTTAATTGACTAAGACATATATCTCCGACCAAAGGAGTGAATTCAAATTTCTCACTCGTGCTTAAAAATAAAACTATAAAAAAACAAAACTCTTCCCAAAATGGTTTAGAAAGAATAATTAACCTAAAAAATTCTGCGTGGTCTTTAAGAGGAGGCTGAGTAAGACAAAGCTAAAGTTTTAAAAAAAATTATAAAAATAATTATTTTATTTTTATTAAAATAATGAAGTTGCAAAAACTAGCGTAAGCAGTCCAAAAGAAGAATCCTGGCCACTCCTACGCAACCCATTTGCCCCTCCCTTTTTTCCTATTGCCAATTATATCCCCATATATTTTGAATAATGAATTTTTTTTTTCATCTTACCATTATTTTTCTTAGAATTTTCAAGTTTCTTTCGGAGTAGGGTACTAAATTCTCATCGACGTATTGATATTTTCATGACATTTCTATATGTTTACGAGTTCGATATTGACATGAGAGGTAAATCAACATTTTAATAATATCGCAAAAAAGATCGACAAAATATAAAAATATATATAGCAACAACATATCAATAATATGAACATAATATTAATAGTAATAGTTTCTAACTTATTTAAAAATGGTAAAATACTTTTTTATTAATGTAAATATTTTATAATTTTTTGAAAAATATTCATCGACATCAACATTTTACCAATAATTTCATCGACGTTTCTATAAAATTGAGACATCGAAATTTCCATCGATGTACTAAATTTTTACAAATTTTGTGTACTTTTGACTTTGGCTAAAAAAAATATTTTTGAAACTTGTACTATTATTATTAAAGTAATAATTTAGTCCTTAAATTTTACTTTGTAACAGTTTAGTCCTCGTACCTTTAAAATGGCAACAATTTAGTCATTGTATTTTCAAAATGGTGATAATTTAGCCTTTAAATTTTAATAAGTAACAATTTGTCTTTGTAGTTCAAAGTTTTCAACTATTTAGTTCTTAGTGTGAAAAATGTTGTTAAGATTTAATAGGGTTTCTTATATATGTAAATCAACAAACTAATGAATAATTGTTTATAAATTACAAAAGTAAATCGTCCTATGATAAAAATAGTCACTTAACCTTGATAAGATTTTTCACCGTACAGACTAAAATTCTTACAAATTTTAAACTATAGAGATAAAATTGTTGCATACTAAAGTTCAAAAAGTAAATTGTTACCAATTTGAAAATACATCGACTAAATCGTTATAAATTTTTTTTAGTACAACAAGTTGTGGTAGTGATTCGAACTCACGGACTTTTAGTTGAAGACATGTGCTTGACTAATTGAGATATGCTCAGATTGGCAAATTGTTACAAATTAAAGTTTAACTAAATCGTTGATTCAATGGAAGTACATCACCAAAAGTGTCTTTTGACAAAGAAAAAAGAATTGCAGTCTAGTTGACAAAGGCTTAAGGTCTCTTCGTCACAGTGACTTAGAGATCTCGAGTTCGAATCGTTTAGTGAACTTAATATCAATAAATCCGACTCGATGTCTCTCAGGTTCGAGCTCTAGGACGGACACGGGTGCCTCTGAGTATAGAGTAAAGCTTCAACTCCTGATTATAAAAAAAAAAAACCGAATAATTATCAAATGGGCATAAAAAAATAAAGAGAAGGCTATATTCGTCAATAATGAAGGAACAGTTAAAAAGTAGTTTAAAGCAAATTAGCTTCAAATTGTTCTTTGTTCCTTCTCCAAATCCTTTCCCCTTCTCTGCAACTCTCTCTCTCTCTCTCTCTCTCCCTCTCTCCCTCTCTCTCTCCTTTTCCTTCGCCATTAAGTCTTCTCCTCTGGATTTCTTCGCGACTCCATTGCCCGTTCAACGAAGAAGAAGCTTTTTCTCACACCTTCTTCAATGGCGGAAACTGAGATTCGCGCCAAATCCCCAACTCTCGCGCTGCGGCAGAGCCAGGCTGAGGCTTGTCCAAGTAAGTTCCATAGCCATGTCTTGTACAAAGTTTTAACGGCGATTTTCTTTCTAGTGATTCTCCCTCTCGTCCCCTCCCGAGCCCCTGAGTTCATCAACCAAACTTTGCTGACCAGAAGCTGGGAGCTTCTGCACCTTCTTTTCGTCGGAATTGCTGTTTCTTACGGCCTTTTTAGCCGGAGAAATGAAGAGAAAGAGAATGAAGTTAGTGGTTCTAAGTTCGATAATGTCCAATCTTATGTTTCTGGATTGCTTCATGTCTCGTCGGTTTTTGATGATGAGCCTGAAACTCCGTCTGCGAATGATGAATCTTTGTCTTCTTCTGATGAGAGTAAGGTCCAAACATGGAGTAGTCGGTATTTTAGGAATGAATCTGTGGTTGTTGCTGAAGAACGCCCTGCTGTTAACGAGCAGAGAGTTAGGAGCGAGAAGCCTCTGCTTCTGCCTGTTCGTAGCTTGAAGTCTCGTGTTGTTGCAGACGATGATCTTCTCGATGAGTCTAGAGCTGTGTCTGGATCCAAGCCGAGAGCGAGTTCGAGAAGATTATTGAGCAAGTCGAAGAGGAGTACGGAAGGGGAATTTGGGGGAGTGAATCTTGAAGAAATGGAGGATAAGTTGAATGAAAATGTCGTTCTTCGATCGCCAGTTCCATGGCGATCGAGATCGGGTAGGATGGAGATGCAAGAAGAAGCTGATAATCCTCCTATGTATTCCCCTGTTGCTGCCATGGAGGAATCTGAATCGAATTGGATCGATTCTAGGTCTTCCAGGCCTCAAACTTCAAGGTCTACCCGAGCCAATGCCATAGGTCAGAAGCTATCTCCTTCTCCCTCTCCATCTCCAACACCGAAGAAGCCATCTCCTCCGCCCACTGTGTCACCAGAATTACAGGGCAAGGGTGCGGAGGATTTCGTGAGGAAGAAGAGCTTTTACCGGTCTCCGCCTCCTCCGCCGCCACCTCCGCCTCCACCACGTGTTCGACGAATTTCCTCAATGAAACAAAGCTCTTGGTTGAACGATAATGATGTGCCTCATCAAAAAGATTTGCGGCGAAGCTTCACTAGCAAACCCAGAAGCTCAATTCGTGATACAGGAGATGATATTGATATGATGGTTGGTCCTAATTCAAGTGTTGTGAATGAACCACCGAGAAATTATGTTGATAGTCAATCAATGGGAAAATCTGTAAGAACAATCAGACCTGGGGAACTTGTGAATGAACCACCGAGAAGAGGGAGAGAATTGGGAGGAAATGAATTGAAGGGGAGGATGGATCATCAGAATGTCCATGTCCAAGATTTTGAGGAGAACCCCATTGAGTTTCCAGATGAAGAGAAAGAAGAACTGGTTGAAAAGTTAGACATGGAAACCGACGACGACATGGAAACCGAGGAAGAAGAAGACACCATGGCGACCGAGTTTATCAGGGACAAAAACGGAGGAACTTATACCGAAACCAGGAAAGATAACGAAAGAAGTTCGAGCAATGAAGAAGCAGGCAGTAGCAGTATGGCTGGTGATGGAGGACCAGATGTAGATAAAAAGGCTGATGAATTCATTGCCAAATTCAGAGAGCAAATCAGGCTCCAAAGGATTGAATCAATAAAGAGATCCAGTGGACAAATTCGTAGAAACTCTTCAAGGCAAACTTGAAGTTTGAAAGATGTATCCTATCATCCTTCAGTAAGTGTTCATCAAAATTTAAACTCAAATCATTCAACTGATATACCTTCTAGTCCACTTTTAACTCTTTTCTTTTCTCTCTCTTTTTTCCATGATTTTCTTCTTTGATCATCAAGTTCATATTCCTGGAAAGTGTTTTCATCTTCTCCAAATTCATCCTCTGCTGCTGAAAATATATTTTATTAATTGAGTTTGAAATGCTTAATATTTTAATTTAATGAAATACCTATGTATTTGAAAACCTATTCCATTTATATGACTAATCGAAAATATTTTTACTCAACCTGAAATGGCCTTATAGCGATTTTAGATTTCACACCTTGTCTTATTTATTTTTACTATTTATATTCATTGTATTACATGTGGGTTAATATTTTTAGAATATAATTTTTTATGTTGATTTGATATTTGAATGAATATATCTTTTATTAATGCTTAACTATTAAATATTTGACATGAGTTTTTAAAATAACTAGTATTTTCACACGTGCAAGGCACGTGACATCTCCAATTTATTTGTTTATATATTAAAATTAATGGTGAACTTATCAATTTATATTGAATAGTTATGATTTTTATAAGAATTAAATTAATGACTTCTAGCCGTACAAATATTTTTAGAACAAAAATAACGACAAAATTACTTTCAAAATATATATTATTAATCATAGTCATACATGGAGGATAAGACTTTTTTTTTTTTTAGAAAAAATGTTGATGGGAGAGGTGTTTATACTTGCTGAATGTTGCATTAATTATTAAACTTCCAAAAACTTTTTAAATTCTATTATTAATTATAATTAAATATAATTATTAACTAATTTGATATAATTTTAAAATAAAAATTAATTTACGTATTTCTAATTTGAAATAAAATATCAACATTTTATCCAATTTTAAGCATTCATAAACGGTCAAAACATTTATAACATAATTTAACTAAAAATAAAGTTTAAAAGCATGCATAAAAATTTTAAGTAATAACATAAATTTAAGATTAATTCTAAAATCATATTAATAATAATAGTCCGTAAGGAAGAAGAAAATCGATGTGCACATAATAAAAAGAAAAATTACCTGTCCCAAATGTTTGAGATTGCTAAACAATAGTCACATATTCAACTACATTCAATTTAGAAACATAAAAATATATAAAATAAAATAAATTCAGAGGGAAAGAAGAGAACAGAAAAAATATATATTATAACTCAAATGGTGGTAAGAAATGAGTCAAAAAAGAGTAAAAAAAAAATAGTAACAAAATAAAAAAAAATTAAAAAATTAAAGAGTGACAAAAAAAACTTTTAATATTCAAAATTTAAATATAATTCAACGTTATAATTATGGAACTAATTTATGTATATTGAAAAGACAAAATTTATCATATTATATTTTATGATTTAAATTAAATATTAAATCTTAAAAACATCTTATAATATTAAAATTAAATAATCAATCATGCCATGGTCTTATACCTTGGTTAATTTGATATAGATAATTACTCAATACCTTGGTTTAATCAATCATGTCAAAGCGAGCATAACTCAGCGCTAATTGGCATATACCTCCAACCATTAGGTTGTGATGAGTTCGATCCCCCACACCCATATGTTGTACTAAAAAAAATCAAGAAATCTATTATCAATCCGTTTCACAATTCCATTCATAATAAAATATGATTCACTTTTCTCCAAGTATGCTCCACAATATCTTGAAAATTTTTGTTGTACGTCACATAAAATAAAACTTTTATAATACCAAAGTGAGTATAACTCAGCTGTAATGATGATATAACAATAGAAAAATAGAAAAGAAAAAAATTTGAAATTTGAATATAGAATTGAAAAAAAGAATGATGAACGATATTTGACTCCAATCTAAAAAATGACATTGGCAAACGTAGAATTATCTATATATATATAGTAAAATGTGAGAAAATGAAAAGTCCATACATTTAAAAAATTTGAGAAAGATGAAAAGTCACGTAATAGAGAATTTTCTATTAATTTAACCTTAATAAACCACTAATATTTAGTAAAGTAGGTGTGTGAATCAGTGGTGGTGTTAATGGTATATATTAAGTGGGTGTTAACCATAAGGATGTTGAAAGGTTTTTTCTTCTCTCTTTTTTGAGTGTTACGTGTATGTGAAATTAGTGGATGATTTTTCATTCATTGTTTTTAATTAATGGAAGGATAGCTTTGGCATTGTACAAAAAATCAAGCTTAAATTTGTTCAAAAAAAGTTTCTTCCCCCATCCGTACTTTTAATATATTATAGATATAGATGAAAGCGAGAAAAATAATAAAAAAACATCATACATAATTAAAGTTTAAGTACATATATATTCATACCTTTTTTGGGAGAATTTTTTCCATGTTAATAGCTGATATTAAAACTTGAATTAATCTTCATTTTAAAATAGTAATATACTTTATGGTTTGACATAAAAAAAAGTTAAAAATTAAAAATAAAATTGAATTATGTGAATTGTGGAATAGCCATTAAATATAAGGATAAATAGGTAATTATCATATGAAATAGGTAATTTCTTTTATCTATTCAAGATATTTTGGAGAAGATCTTTATTAGAAAAAATATGTAAATTCTTTAGTTTTTTTTAATGCTTATTATTATTAGTTTTACAAAAAAAAAATGTATTTCCATAAAAGAGATATTGGGTTACATTTTAAAATAATAAAATATATTTTACTTATAACACTTTTAGGTAAGAAAGTAATTACTTTAAACCTAATTTTTAAATTTCTGTTAAATTTTTGGTTTTTGAAAAAAAAAACAACTTCTTATTTTTTTAAAATCATTTTATGACTACTTGTTTTAAAATAGTATTGTCTATTATATTTTGAAATTGTTAGTAATATTTTATCTAATCAAAGAAAATAAGATGTTAAACAAATTTAGAAAAAAATAATGATACTATAAAATTTTATCATTACAAATTTTAGGAAAAATTAATCACATGCACGAAAATTTTCTAAAAAATATTTGATACAATGATTAGAATTAATATCTATTAAAATCTAGAAATATATGTATGATTTAAAACGGAAAAAAAAAGGTTCAATACAAATAATAAGTTAATTTGAAATTAAAAAAAAAAGTTCGAAACTTGTTGGTATGAAACGATGAGGAGATTGTTGAAGATAATAGAAAGAAAAAATTAATGAAAAAGATAAATTATAAATTTTCAGAAAAAGAAATTAAAGAACACAAATGATTCAAGACTTGCTTCTCATATAATCTCAGGTTCTTGTTGAATATATTTTTTTTCTTTTTTAGGAAATTGGTAGGACCTCTATTTTTTTTTGGGTTGATTTTCCTTCAAGAATATGATAAGATCTCGAACTTTGGGTTGATTTTTCTTCTACAAAATGATTGAATCTTTTCTTGTTTTGTTGGTTTTAGGACTATTTACACCTAAATATGATCACAGTACACAAATTATTAATCAAAACTACCACCATCAGTTTAGTATTAATTAAAAAAATTCTTCTAAAAAATAACGGAAGAGATGTAAACAATACATAAACAGATTCCAAGGGTAGTTAAAACCAAAGAAAGCTACATTATAATAGATACGAACATTCAGACTAAATATCAATGAATTATATGGCCACTTTATTTTTCTTTGCAATTGCACCTATACGTGAATAGGCGCATCATTTTGTCGAAGAGTTGCACTTCTATTGTATTAACTTTATCATTTGAATGTGTGAAATGATGTGTAACACAATCTTCTAATCTCCATCACATTAATATGTGAATAGGCACAGCTCTACGGTCTTGATCGATTCTTAGACACCTTGATCCAAATAGATTCATCTCATATAAATCTAAAAGGTAAAATTGGCATGGGTAAGATATGCGTATTGAATCAATAGATACTTCGACCAATCGCATTCCCTCGAAGTTTAAAGTGCAACATTAGTATATATTAAAAAATTGAGTACAAAATTGGTAGAGAAAAATTATCCTTGTACTATTGGGCCTTATCTAGAAGCCCAAATGATGCTTAATGCTCCTAGTATAGCCCATGGGCATTCAGCCTTATTTTGGTCAGAGTACAAGCCCCTTTGAAATATCTA